ACTGTTAATAGCGTATTAACAGAAGCGGTTGACAAACCAAAAACAAAAAGTGCTTATTAAGTGGGCGGTGCAGCTTGCTCTTCAAATATTTGTTTCCCCTTTTTCCAGCGAATGTGTATCACGGCTCCGTAACAAAAATATTTGTCCACCTTCTACAAAATTTCGATAGAAAATAGTGTATAGACTAGAGCCTAAAAATATTTGAATGAAAATGTATCCACTTTTGTATCCACTGTCCATAGTTTTTCATCCGCTTTTTTCTGAAGCCATATTTCTTTTCTGAACGATTTCGGGGAATGTTTAGGGACGTTGAATCTTGTCAGATTTCGAATAGAGTTCTCATTGTTTGGTAATGGCTCGCCCGCAGTGAGTTTGAGGCTATGCAAATTGGCGTTTTTTTATATTTGCCGGAAATCGGGAATTTGTACTATCCGGCGTGTGCTTCGCAGTGTTATTATACTCTTATTACTGGTAATGATAGCGATGTCTTATTTATTTTTGCACTTACTTCCCGTACCCGAGTCGGCGTGAAAGTGAATGTATCATACAGCATACTCTCCGTGGAAAGGTTTTGATAACTTGGTTCCGCTAAAAATATATTACGAAGCGTACGATATGCCGAAGTCCTTCATATTCATTTATTTTTGTGAGTATCGAACTCTTTCGTATAAAACATACAGAGCTTCTGAAGAAAATCATGTATACATGAATGTGATCCAATAAAATGTGTTCGAACCACTTACTGTTGTTGACCCCAAAATGCTCCACCAGCCAGGAGTCAATGCGGTGATTGTGTAACTTCAATGCTTTACAGTAGAAAAAGGACAAGAAATATATATACTTCTGCTTTGTGAAGTAAGTTGAAATATTGTTTGACACAACTTGCGCGGACTCTATCGTAAAAAATAAAGCAAAATTGCGTCAGTATTTAAAAAAAAAAAAGCAAAAAAAAAAAACAGCGGCTTTGGGAGTCAAGGAGCTCCCGAGAGCCGAGCGAGGCGGGGAGGAAAGAGAGAGAGAAGGGGTAGCGGAGAAACCGGAGCAGAAACGCCGAAACCGAAACCGAAACTAACTTGACCGGAAACGGAATCAGATTATACTTAATACCGCCCGCTAGGAGCGCTACCTGTCACTGGTCTATCTGGGCCGCTGGGGCCTATGGCAGTGTCCTCTCTTTACCTTGTGTATATTACTCTATGCATATGGGTAAGACGGCCGTCTCCGATTTGCGGGACACGCGGAACTACAGCAGTGAAACCACGAGGAATTGTGTCGACGTTTTCGACGTTATGGAAATCGCGAAAACTGCGTCCAAGCCTCAGGCAGGTTTTCCTGCCGGCTGCCTTCCGTGCCGAGTTCGGTTCTGTTGTCCCGTGCCGAGTGCCAACCGGCGTTCAACATGATTCTGTATTTCTGCGTGTCAGCAACATCGTCAACATGGTTGCCCCTACGATGCCCCTACCGAGCAAATGCCATCTTTCAGTAAAGGATGTCTTGCTTTTGGCACTTTGTGGCAGAAATCAGTATGCCTACTTTAGCTCTACTTTTTTCTATTAAATTTGGCAATTACGACTATACTTAGGTTACATAAAACTTTCTTCGTGACATAGAGAAACCGGGCACGCAAATATGCATGGTTCAATACGCGTGCCTTATGAAAAATTGGAATTAATGTCCCATTTTCTTCAATTTCTTGGGGGGAAGAGAAGGGGGGGGGGGGGGGTATTGTTGTTATTCGAGAACGTTGTTGCCGCCACTTGAGAAGAACTCAAATCCATTTTAAATCACAATCGCAACCTTCGAGAAGAGTTCAGCTTCGTTGAAGAGACAGCGACCTGCTCAGCGCAGGCACAAACATACATAAGAAAACATGCTCATCGCTCTTGCAGCGTTTGTTCCACTCGGGCTTTATGTTAAAACAAATTGTCGGTGAGCTGCTGATGGAACACATGTCAGTATAAACGTGACTTGTGCTTAACATTTTCGGACGTCACTTGAAGGCGCGAGTAAAGTGCCGTCGGACGGCACTTGAATTCTCCACAATAGTGCCGTCAGACAGAACTCTAGATACAGCCAATTTTTATTCATAATGATTAGAAAATTCCTTGTTGAAAATTTATTCAGTGCTTACAATCCCCACATGCTGTCTGCCCCCGAACTCGTTGACGTGGCAGTCACCAATGCAGCTTCAATATTTTTTTCTGTAGGATGCATTGTTTTTGTGCTAAACGTTTGACTGGTATCCCTTGAAGCATTCGTATATGTTATCAGTTAGATGGCGTCGGGCAGCATTTTAAATGCATATATATTACGTTTATATTACGTTCAGGGGTATCGCAGGAAACATTCCATCAAAGGGAACGAAAATCGCCCGCAAAAGGAACAAGCAGCACCGTCGCCCGCAGTGGCCAACCTGGTGGCGTCCCTGGAGAAGTATACTTTTCAATTGTGGGCATGACATCCACTATTTGTCGAGAAGCTTTTCTGGCAATAAAATTTAGGTTTTGTAATACATTTAATCTGATCCCAAAAGACCCTCTACAAAAAAAAAACAAAAAAAAACTGTTGTTTTTATAATATATTGATATATCATGCATTCCTCTATCGATCTCTGTAAGGACTTCTTTCTAAGCAAACATCCAGATGTTATCCAATCGTGAAGGCAGTGGTGTAGCCCAGAATGTTTTTTTCGGAGGGGTTTAGGGAGCTGGGACCCATGACGTGGGGTGCAGAGGGGGTGGGGGAGAGGTGGTCGAAACGTCCGCCGAATTTCAGGGGGGAGGGGGGGGGAATGAAGCCCACTCAGTGAAGCTAAAAACTAAATATGACCTGCTCCCGAAATTATTCGCAGGTTATGTGATTCGATGGTTTTATATATTTAGTCTTACTGACAGTTGTGTTGAATGGGAAAAGAGGCAATTAAGTCAATCTGTGGAATACCGCAGCACTTCAATTGAATTTTTTTTTAGGTTCATTATGACATTGTTGACTTGCAAGCTTTTTGCAGTGGGGAATTATTTGTTCATTAACCACACCCCAGAATATATGCTTTCACAGACTGAGAGAATAGGGCAGAAATATTTCGTTGAGAGAGCGTCCAGTGTTCTTGGAAACTGTTTTTTTTTTTTTTTTGACAAATTTGTGCCATAGAAACTAATTTCTCTATTTAACAGAAGTACTGTTTCCTTTTTAAACACAAGTTGTCTTTTCACAAACGTCCTGAACAGGAACCCAATTTATTTACAGAAACTATGTTACCTATTCCTAAGGACAGAGACTGTTTTTTCATAAGCTTTCAGAACAAAAACCTGCTTTATTTACAGAAACTCTGTCACGTATTTCTAGGAACAGAGACTGCTTTTCACAAACTTCCGGAACAGAAACCCTGTTTACTTACGGAAACTTAGTTCCATAGTTCTAACAGAGGCTGTTTTTTTCAAGAACGTCCAAAACAGAAAACCACTTTTTTTACAGAAACTTCCTGTTACACTTTTAAGAACAGAATCTGTTTTATTTTTACTAGAGTGGGCAACAAAAAGTCTGTCATTTTACAGAAAAGACAAGAACCGAAAAAAAAAATTTTTTTTTAAAGAAGTATGGAAGCAAAGAAAAAGACGAAAACATGCAATATGTGGCAAGAGAATCAAGAATGATCTAATGTGTGTGCTATACATGATCATGTGCTAGTCGCACGCACCGACAGCCGTTCCCAATCAAAACAACGAGCGCCGTCGAATCAGCGGGAACGGCGGACCCCGTGAAACCTCTGCTATTTAGCAGCCCAGAAATTTCCAGCTGGGGTGTCTCAGATTTTAAACGATAGCAGCGGTATGGGACGAAAATGGGACTGAATCCTGTAATGTTTGAATGGGCTCCGTAAAGTGTGCTAGAATTTCCAATGTGTACATTGTGGAATTTAGGCATCGTACGCCGGAGTCCGTGCAAGTTCTTCAGTCAACGTGAAAGGAGCTATGATGAGAGCACACTGGCTATCTGTCAAAAAAAGGTTGCTATGGAATAGCGAATACATCGCTTCCATTAAAGCCTCCCGGCGGATTCAGCGGAGTTAATTTGTCACAACTCCGGCGTACCTGCCAAGCGACTGGCTTCAGTGGACGCAACATTGTTATTTTTTGTTTTTCCGTCGAGATTGGGGTGACATTACGGAGAAAATAAAGCCTTGTGCACACGTTATACTCATCATTTTCTTGTTTTCGAACAGCTAACCACTGCCCCAAATCGCTGCTTCGAAGCATGACCACACGACATGTACGAACCAAACAAACCGATCGCATGATTTGTACCGACCAGAAAACGGAAATACGCTGGGGGGGACGATGCGGCTGCCATGTCGTTTTGCGCTGGCTCCCGTTGCGTTTGCTGACTGAAAGATTTATTCCTAACGCCTTTAGTTTGTGAATCTCCATGACGTGCACGGGCAAACAGCTGCTGAAACGTAGTTCGTTCCGGGCAGCGGCGGCCTGTGACTACTTTTGGATCCGGAACCACTCCGCTGATCCGTCCGCGCGCGCGTACTTTCGTCGACCTTTTTACTCGGGAAATTTGTCCTGAGAAAGGGCGTGTCCGCAACCTTTCAATATTTTTAAAGAGGTAAATAGGCGACGCATTACTCTACTTTTTCCATTTTTGGGATTCTCTAAGCGTGTAGAGTGCGCTACCGTCATAAAATAACGATATAAGATTTTTGTGGAAAGTTTCATGGTCATCTGTTCACTTGCTTATTTATACGATTTTTTTTTCAAGTTCAAAGAAAGCTGCGGAACACCTTTTACATACCTACCAGATATATGCGTATTTGGTATGAAATACTGCGAAATAACAATGGTGCTTTGAACAATACCTTTTATTTGCTCCAGTCATTAACGAAAACCCATACAACTAAAACAAAACATTGTGAATCCGAAAAAAAAAAACATGGGCAGGAACTAAAACTAAAGAGCTTGAGGCTAATACTGCGGGGTTTCAGATATCCACTCCAATTAAAAGTGTATATACTGGTTTGTACAATTAGGATAGAAAACGCGGTAAATCTTCGTCGTGTTGCAATATTCAAAAAACCTGTTCAGGCATTCGTCGGGGGTTTCTTGGGAAAGAGTCATATTGGCCATCCACAGGTCGCAATGTCTCTCTAATAAAACAAAAAGAAAAAAACATTTTTTTAAAGTTGGTGAGCACAGTGAACAAACGCATATCGAAGTCTAATGCAATGAAATACGTTTCTTTTTTCTGTGCAATAGAATTTCTGTAGAAAATTATCAAGTAAGGTACTTCCGTTTCTTTGTAGAGATAAAGTAAACGCAAATTAGCATAAACAAGAGGACAGATATTGACAATCCTTTGATCAAAAATAAAGCGCCAAACCTCGTCAGTTTAAATATGTATTATAATTTTGATTAGGCTTTTTATATAAACAATTCATCAAGTGCCTATCATTTGATTGCATAGGCCCTATTTTGTTATTTATATATTTTTATTTCGTCTAATTCTATGTGTTTAAGTATATCTGGAAGTCGAAGACTCTGGCCTATTGAACACAAATTACAAGACTATCCTCGTTGTTCTTTTCCAAGCGATTAACAGGGAATATATATGTTATCGCTGTTGATGCACGTTTTGCGAGCTGTGTTTGTAACATGTTTTTTTTTATGTATCTCTGTGGCTGCTAAGTTTTTATTTTTGTTTTGTTGTTATACTTATTTTCTATACTACTGTGTTGTTTCTTTTTATGTCCTGGCGGCCTCGGTATAGAGACCTGCTAATGGCTTGTGGACGCCAACATTTGGAAAATAAGTAAATAATTAAACAAATAAGTTAATTTTTAAATATAATAATAAATACCCTTTAAGTCCACGCGTTTAGTTATTTTGAATGGCTGTAATGACCGAAGTTGTTAATTATTAATATGGCTGTTTCCGTATTTAGTTTCCCAGCTACGCCGGGTCGTTAGTCAATAAAAGAAGATAGATATGCCACCTACGTCGAGTCGTTAGTCAATAAACGAAGATAGATATGAAAGTGAACAAGATTCAAGCTTCAGAAACAAATTTAACTTGTTAAAAATTGAGAATTTACCTCCTTGATTTGTGAATGGGATTCGAAGAATGGTGCAGCTCATGTAGTTAGAATACAACACGAGATTGTCCGTTGGAATGCCAACTGTGGGGGAAAATTCACCACATCTTTAGAAGTCACAAACAACATGTCTATTTGAAAGTGCACAATTATATCACAAATAACAGTAGAAAAACAACTATTTTTAACTAGACGAGAAATATTGTTTGTTTAGTGTATAGAATTAGCACCCCCGACTAATTCACCTCCCCTGCACAATTGAACCTGTCTAGGTGAAAGGCGTGATGTTTTCTAAAGGGAGACATTGACAGTTTCATTTTAAATCAGATTTCTTAAGCTACCCGATATATAGTTGTAATCGATATTTAAGATTAGGATATATTTTAATGGTGCTGAATATACTTACTGTGATGCTCACTTTCATATCTTGGTAAGAGATTAAAGATTATTTAATCTAATCTTCGCCCAGTGAAACGCAAGTTTTTAAGTCTTTGAAAAAGCATAAATTAGGTACCAAGAATTGCCCTGAGTAAAAAAGAACACCTACACGTGCGAATATTTTCTTTTTTTTTTTTTTTTTTTGTTTCAGCGCAGAAAACATTTATGGGGGTGAACAGGGTTCGAAACTCGCAAGTCCAGTTTTTATTTAACACTTTTTTTTTCCACTGGGATGTTTCAGATAATTTTCGTCATTTTTTGTGTTTTCTAGTTTCCAACCTTCCCTAGTCTTAAGCATTTGAGAAGTAGTGCGCAGCGCAGGGCAGTCTTACGCTAGAGCTCTATCCTGCTGTCTCGAGTATATTGACGCCCGTGTCACCCATTAGTATACTTTTGCTTTGGCACAAGTTCGTCACACTAAACGTTTAGTTGTTTCAGTACCTACGACAGAGACGCGAGGCCCTCCTTGAAACGAAAATACAAGACTTCAACGAAGAAGTTACCAGCTTCATCGACGACGTACTACGCCTGATTATCCGGGCCGACCTTCAGGCCGCCGGGAAGAATTTACGCGTCCTCACAAGGGGGGTAGCGTAAAATCTTTGGGGTCCTGGTCCGCAACCCTCCGACAACTTTTCATGGGTTTGTGGTTGTGGCACTCAACATGTATTCTTTATGTAGCTTTGCCCAGTATAATATGTTTTTCATTACACTGTAGCGTAACGCTCTGGTGTAAAATTCAACCCATCGTCTATATTCTTTGACAAAATTGGTGTTCTTTGACCATACAAGGATAGACAGGCGTGCGCATAGAGCGAGATGTTGGAAAGCAGTCATTGCGATATGGGCACATACCCTCTGCACGTATTTTGAAAGTGTTTAGCATGCCTAGTGTAATGGCGCACAATTCATCGTTATAAACTGCTTACATAAATCCTTGCATGCAACACTGTGCGTGTTGCACTCTGGGAACTAGTAAGCCAGGGAGGAGAGTGGCATATTTTCAGGTTCAATGGACCCGTTAACAGGAGATCATACACAGAGCGTAGATTATTAACATCCCTTATCTCATGTTTCCTGGTTTTAAACGCATCGTTCTTTTTTTTTTTTTTGTCTCGAAACTAATTTAAATGGCCAGACCTAGAAGCTTTAGAACAAACCTGAACCATACGTAAAGTTTGTCTTGACACATGCTTGTTGTATTTTGTACTCGTGCCTATCTGTTAGCGTTTCGAGGTATGGTGCTTGAGCCAGTGCTGGGAATCTCGACGCTGCGAAGCTCGGGGATCATGCTGGTGTACGAGGCAATACGCTGTAACAACCATTAATTACACGTACACCGAGTTTACACATTTACGTTAGTGTTGCTGGTCAGGAAGTTTGTTACTTGTTTTGTCCGTCCGTTGATGAACTACACCTTTTTTGCATTACAGTTTTTCTTAATACGCCATAGCACGGGTGGTGAAACTCGGAGACGTCATTAAAAAGCTAAAGTAAAACACACTTGTTATCTCTTATCTGTACTGACCCGCAGCACTGCACGAAAGGAAGTACCCACCCGCTAACTTTCTGCGAATTCAACATCGCGCTTGCGCATGAAGTTATTCTGCAATCATATAGGCCCTTTCGCACAAACAAGCCGTTTTTAAGAAGCCACGGTCGAGCACTCGAGTGAAGAATGTCGGACCGTTCGCAGGACGTCACGTATACGGACGTGAACTTCTATGCGGTGCGCCAAACCAACTAAAGGATTCAAAGCGCATTTGACGGTTTCTGATGGTCATACGATTTGTTATGTGTTTTTCTTCTTACTGAGTGAGCATGCTGAGATAACTTCAAATACACCGTTCAGACACATATCTTGGGGCATTGGCAAAAGCTCGTTCAAAAAGGCTTAGCGAGGAGTAGGCGCCGCTGGGTAGGGCCGCCGTCGTAGATAGCCAATCTCAGCGTTTGCGAAAACTTAGACTCTAACCAGCATAAAATATGAGTGGGAGATATCTGATAACACGAGGGAGACTTCATAGTAAGTTTTGTGCAGTAGTGAGGTTGAATTCCGTTTCCTTAAAAGTTCATGCGCCTACGTTGAGCTCAACGTTGAGACTCCTGTGAGGATGCGGCTTGTTTTTTGCTCAATGAAGTAACAAGAAGCGGACAAAATAACAAAATACACGTAGGGCTCGAAGTGGCTAAATTTCAGTCGAGGCTCACCGGTACTAGCCATGTTTATTGAAATTGAGCTCAAAGATACAATCCTGGGGTGAGACGTGACTGAGCCATGCCTTACTACGTTTGCACACTCACGCACAGTATCCGGAATGTCGAAAACGAAGGAAAGTGCCCCGGTGATCGTTCTATATCGCTTCACAATGAGAGTATTGTACATTCGTGGGAATTAAGATAATGAAAAACGTAAGCAGCACATTCGGTCACGGCGTGATTGCATGAACTGAAGCTGCTCAATCGAAACAGAAACTGAGTGGCCTACTAGTTCACAGAGTGCCCTGCGTGGCATTTGCACGCGATGGGGCGCTTCGAAGTTTGAAGGAAGTCTATTCTTTGCAAAGAAATAGACGTATTTTAGAAACTTATTTTGGCCCCGTCCTCTGAACCACACCGATGACCTCCGATCGCGCAGCTTAAGACAATCTGAGCCTGCCAAAGTAACAAAAACGTGCAGTGGATGCAGTTTTTTTTTCAACTTTCTGCCGCATCATTTGCAAATGTAAACAAGCGTAAAGTATATACATGAACGAGGTTCTCACTAGCTTCAACAGCGCTGTTTAATTTCTGAAACAGTGTCACTTGCCCGGTGACCGTTTGTACAGGAGCTTAGAATAAATCACAAAGCAGTCCGCGCATGCGTGACGGGCGGCAGCAGCGTTCGGCGGCAGTGCATGAGACAACTGGTGCCCTCTCGTGCTCTACAACTGCAGGACTCCATCGAGGGTGTCATAAGTGCAGAAAGACTTAAATTCCCGCTAGGCAATGTGGCAGCGTTGGTGTAGCCAAACTGCTGTTGAGATAACGGCCGGTCTCGATTCACGCGCTTCAATTTCATGCGGCCTTTTCCGTCCTAGAAAAAAGCGTGCGCATGATTCTGCGCGGAAGCGCTGCGACACAAAGAATTTCACCGTTCCACCATGCTGCTCAACAGGCTCTGTTTTACTTAGCCCAATGGTTTACGGTTGTGTGCCATAATAAAAGCAACATCTGGGAAAACCTCTGGCCTGCTTCCCACCAGCTGCCCAGCCATGAATTAATAAATCATACCGTGAAAGAAGAAGATACCAAGGAAGACCCTTGCGTACGATAAATCTTAATCTACGGTTATGGGCAGCAGGAACTTTAAACCGGAGGGTTATATACCGGAATGCAGCATAAAGCCCCTGAGCCGTGCCTACGGTGTTTGATGGTTCTTAGAAGAACCTGATGCCTGCACCCCAAAAAACTCAAAGAGAACCCGTTTTCAAGCGGTCGGAATCTACACCCAAAAGCAGAAAATGAAAGGCAGATGCGTTAGGTGTTCTAGGGGTCTGCGAACAGAGTGAGCAAGTTGAACGAAACGGATCTTAAGCACGGCGGTCCTGTACTTTTGACTGCAGAGCAATACCAGCTATGGCCGCTCTGCGGAGAAGATCCTGGCCACCCAATGGCTTTTCCAGGCAATTAGGTCGCACTGCCGCTATCCAAACATAGGTGATGGGGGAAATAAGAGTCTTTGCGCGGGTAAGCTGGTATGCGATCATAATGAAAAAAGAAAAAGAAGAAAACCTAGACCCGTGGTTTCCCCGTCTCGTTGGTTTTTTTTAAAGCATGATAGGTGCTGTCAAGCCCCACTGGTGACGTTGCAAGACAGCAAGCGCGAATTCATTCCGGCCGTAGGGAAATCGGTCTGCTAAAACACGGAGATTCCAAAATTTATCTCTGGAGTGAGGAATATGGTGAGTTGCTGAGGATGTTAATAAGAACGTTACTATACACGGAGACAACTTTTTCTGGCATTTCCGAAGAGGTGAAGACCGCGCGAGTACAGCAGTGATCGGCGCTCATTGTGCGCGAACGCGCGGGTGCCTATAACGTTTGCTTCATTGCCAAGCAAAGTGGTCGCCAAGTATACAAAGTGTCTGAAATAGCGGCCAGGCTCCTAAAATTGACCGTAAAAATTAGTTTCGCAACCTATCGCACTACAATTTCGTGTAACGTTTCTTACAGGAAGTGCATTTGTTTCTATTAAATTTGCAAAGAGCGAACTTACCTGAGGACAACGGAACCGCAGCAAAGCCACCGGTCTTCAAAAAATATGGCGCCGTTTAGCATGGAAGAAAAGAGATGGCGGAAGCGGTCGCGACCCAAACTGCCGCCAACGAACGAGCATACGGCGCCGAGAGCCGGCGTCAAATAGCAGACAACCTTTTCGACTCAAATGCGGTGCGTGTGCCGCAGGCGGCGACAGTCGCAGAACCAAAAACAGGCGCGGTAACAATAGAACAGCAACGCAAACGCCGTAAACCCCCCCCCCCCCCCCCCTCCCAAACAAAAAAAAAAGCAACAACAACAACAAAAACAAAGTAACCCGACAAACAATTTTTTAATAGTATGTGTCTGTTCATGGTGTTTTATTAGTAAGGATTATAAAATCATGCATTGGAAACTGACATTGAAGAAGCTCGCGCCGCTTTTGAGTCGAAAAGATTGTCTGCTAATGACGTCGGCCCTCAGCGCAGTATGCTCGTTCGTTGGTGGCAGTTGGCGTCGCGACCCCTTGCTCCATCTCTTGTCTCTCGCGCCAAACAGAGCACTGTTGTTTGAAGACCGTTGGCTTCGCTGGGTTTCCATATGAGTGAAGGGTTTTTATTTTTTTTTTACTTTTGCCTAAGTTAAGTTCTCTCTTTGCGAATTTTATAGAAAAAAAATGCACCACCTGCGGGCAATGCTGTACCAACTCGTAGCGCGATAGGCTATGAAACCAATATTTGCGGTCAGAAACCTGGTTGCCATTTGAGACACTCTGTCACAATGACAGTTGACAAGCTCCCGAGAACGCGTGGCGCCTTTTCGTGGTGGGTCCGTTCGGTTGACGTTTGCGACGCTATCAGCCAGCCATATGGACAGGAGCGACGGAACCGATAGAATGTTGGACACACATTGTATTTGGCGGAAAGTAATTATGTTTTGGTTTTTATGGTGAACATAAACTGTGCGCAAAAATTAGCCCTAAAAGAACGTCGTTCAAGAACGGTCGCTATTCGTTGACCGTGCGAGCGGTGCTGCTGCTGGCGCTAGGACCGCTATTCGCCCATACCTGCTCTCCTGCAAACCACGTGGAAGGATCGTTTTCGAACGACGGTTTTCCGTAGAGCTTGTCAACTGATAGATCTAAGAACATTGGATAGTACTTACAAGGAGTCCTCGCAAAGTACATGTCGTTTGGGAAACCGTGCCCACCCATCTCCTTCAAAATTAGGTTTTCGTTGATTGTTTTCCAACTGCACAAGAAATGTACATCAGATAGTACGAAGGAAGTTGACACTTCTAAGAAGATGAAAGTAATCACTTACTCAAATCCACTTCTATATCTACAATGCAACGAGTAATTACTCGGTGTTATCTTTTTCGTAATATTGAAATTTTCACACTCCAAAGGGGTATTGCTCAAAAATTCTGTCACATTATACGTGCGCCACTTGACCCATTGCGTAGCGTTCATTTCGAGCACCTGCGAAAAGCGTAAGATAAACATTATTGTGTCGTGCATCATGCTCTTAATGTAAACTAGCGATTCAAGTGGTGCTCATCTTATCGAATTCAATATGTATGTAAGTTGGCAAATTATTGTTTTAGTATAATTTGATCATATTCGTAAAGTTGGCATATTTAGCTACATATGAAAGGGAAAAATCGTTATAGAGGACGTCACATGAGTATAGTCTTAGAAGAAACACACGAATTGCCGTACGTAAAGCAGAATATTAGCAGTTTAACAACATATGTTGCCGTAAAAAACAAAGAAAAAAAAGACTTTAAAGTTTAACGGAAAACATGATTTTCGTGAAAGACTTGTGAAATTATTATGTGCTGAAGAAAATGAGCCATCTGTGTTAATATCTCGAACACTTTATGTTCATGTCCCGTTCATTGAAAAGCACTTCAAAAGAACCAAAGCGCGCACATGATCTCTCCACACCGTCGTCTCCTTCCGCACGATAAAGTCTGCCGACACTGCCAACATTAACTATTGTCACCATCAACATGGCAACGAAGGCGTATCCTGCTTAGACGGACACGCGAACGCAGACGCCGAAGTCTGCTAAAGTCGAGGTTTGCTAAAGTGGATGACCAGCCAAAACCGGACGTGCTGGTGTGGGGGTGACGCTGGGAGCAGGAAGCGGTCGCCTGGCGAACCCTTGACGGTTCCGTTGAAACTTGGTGCAAGCTCGCGGCGGAGGGTGTAATAAATAGAAAGTTTTCTTAGATCGTTCTCGCCGTCCCTCAACGCTCCCCGCAACCCGCTACGATACCGGAACTCTGCAGTCAAGGCCACCGACGCGAAGGCGCAGTAGCGGCTTCTTCGTTGGGGAGGGCTTAGCGGAGGGGGAAACGCGGTCTACGAAAACTCCCTAATGTTTCCCGAGCGAAGCGAAGACCTCGCGTAGCGGGTTCGGTTTGGAAGCCTAGCTTGAAACCTTAAGAGGAGGCTCCATCGACCTGTAATTTCGTTGTCGGGTAGCAGACGATATCCGGGAAATGGCGTTAAGCGCGAGACACATGCGCATCAAAACTGTCCGATCCGACGTCCGATCCGACAGTCCGAACGCCGCTCCGAATCGCCGCACGGGACAGTTTGAGGCACACACTTCCGACCTTGCATGTGACACGACGATCCGTTCGGCTCCGCCCAGGAGACCCAAGCGCTCCAGCGGAGCTCCGCGTTCCTATACAGGGTACGATCTCTGGTCCCAGACTAACGGTTCAGCTGGCACGAGAAAAATGAGGAGCCCGTTCTCGCTAGCGCGTGCATTCTTTGCTGGGGCCATCTTTCTCGAACGGGTAAGCGGGATCCACGCATCCGGCTTCTCGTCGCCCACGTCAGTCCCGTTTTCTTGTTCGTCCCGCCAGACCCAGTACGTCATCATGACGTTCGCGCTAGCTGTTCTGTCATTGGCTGGACGCTTCCGGCTGTCCGTCCGCCGTGCGAAACTATTTGATCTGGCACGTCGGACGCACGCCGGATCGCCGATCTGACGTCTAAAGCGACCAAACTTTTGGGATCAGGCAGTCGTATTGCCGAATCGGACGTCGGATCGGATATATTTTTCGAGCATCTGTCTCGCGCTTTAGTTGTCGCTGGCTTCGGACGGTATATTTGCGTGTACATCTATCCAGAGACGCCTCGTTGTCACGGTGACAGTGACCGTAGCAGACGGCCTTTATCGTGCATAAGGTGACGGTGATGTGGCAAGAGCACGTGTGTGCTTCGGCTCTACTGCCGTGCTGTTTTTCAATGGGCAAAAAAGAAAAAAGTGTATGAAATAAAGAGTTAACACAGATAGGGGATTTTCTTCCGCGCCTAATATTTTACCGCCTCTCTCACAAAACACATGTTTTTTTCTTGGCCACCTTACGGCCGGTGTAATTCTTTTTTTTACCTCGAACATAAATTTAAAATATGAAACCGCCGGTGTTTTTATTATGAAGTTCCTTATCACTGTGGCGCGGCGCATGACCTGCCCTGAAGTATGTGACAGTGCGTTGTACGGACCTTTATTTGGTGCTCGCGTTCTCCGAAGATCGTCGGTAGTATTAAAGCATTAGAGAAACGGTGAATGCATTCACTACTAAGGCGAGACGTGACAGACCTACGTCATGCAATGTAGACCTGATATCATTGGTATTCAGTCTAGCGGCCATTCCTCAAATGAAGTATAACAAGACGCAAAGCAGATGCCTCGTGTGACGAAGTTCCAAGAGCATCGAATGCACCTCTTAGCCTCTATCACTTATTTCATTAATGTCTTATAAATTTTAACAAGGCCCGGACAGTTCCTTGATGGTATGTTTGACTGTTAATCGAAATACCTGTAAGCTTCTTTCTATTTAATTTTCTTATTACCGTTCTAATGCGGTATGCAGAAATTATGAAGCATGGCGTTGGCTTTATTATTTATCTATTTATCTATTTATTTTTGTATAGATATGCTTCAGGCTAAACCGATAAAAGCAGGAAAGGCAAACAGATTTGTAGATAGACCGAATCGAATAGAAACACACAGTAATCAACAATAATATCGAGATAGCAAACTAATCTTGAAACAATTGAGAGGAAGAATGTTATTATTCATCACGGTATTAGTATTTGACTTAAGTCTAGGCTTGAATGAATAAAAATAAAGTATTTCATAATCTGCTCAAGTGAAAGGTTAGTGATTTTTATATGCTCAGGTAGAGGATGTTTTAGTCACGCTTTTGAGACAGTCGTATCACTGATTATATTCTTAATTTAATAGCGATTGATAACTGCTACGTCTGGAGGCGCAACATACCCAAAATATATTTTTCTGTGCGGCTTTCTTTGCTATTTCAAACATACTGGGTATAGTTATCTATCTGTACAGATTCGAGAAATCTAATTTTTTTTTTTTAAACCACTGCCTTTTTTTTTATTGATGTGCTTCTTAAACGAATTTTCTGCTGTAAAAGAAGCCAAAAAAATCGGCGCCTGAACGCAGAAAGCTCGAACTTTCCCCTAGTATGTACTGAGCAGGCCCGTCTTACCCTGTGGAATTTCAAGGTGTAGTTTTCTTCATATAACAAAATGAAAGCAAAATACTTGCCAAAGTTAACGAAAGGCCCATTCGCAGACAATCGAGTTACCGACGTTATGCGGGGCACACGTTCGTCTGCTTCGTTCGCAGGGGTTGCACCGACGTCAGAACGCCGAGCTCTGCTTGGGTGTGATGGGGGATAAGGGGTAGACTACAATGCTAGCTGCTTTGAGGTCCACCTACTATCCTTCCAAACGGAGCTGAGCTCGTCGTTCTGACGTCGGTGTAACCCCTGCTCAACAAGCAGACGAACTTTCGCTCCGCATATAGCTTGTGGCACCATCTCCCGATAGGCGCCAACGCTGACAACAGAGTGCGTCGCTTGCTCGCTGTGCCTATCGAGAGGTGGCGCCATCAGCTAATAGCGTCGGTAACTCGGGCGTCTGAAAACTGTCTAAACGTAGACTTTGACAAGTCTTTTGCTTTCCTTTTTTATTTCTCAGTGCACATTCGGTAAAAGTTCGAGCCTTCTATACGCAGGCGCCGATTTTTCCAGCTAGTTTTACAGCTGAATGTCCTCTTGAAACACCCTATATAAATTTAATTTTTTTACGAGAGGTGCGGGGGGGGGGGGGGGGGGGGGGGGGTGTACGGTTCCTAGAGTAAACATCAGTTCTTTTTGCTAGAAGACCCACAATTAAGATTACACGGCTGAACGTCAGGCAAGGCAAAGCAAGCAGAACTGTGCAAAGGGCGATTTACACACATGCGTTGCGTTCGACCGAGTGCGAGGGTCGAAACGGCAACAGCTGCGCCTGCTCATTTTGTTGGAGTCGACGCGGCTGTTGCCATAGCAACCCTCGCCCTGAGTCGGACTCAACACAAGTGTGTGAATCGCCCTGTAGTGCTGCAGTCAACCGAGTGGTGGCTGTCAAACATTCGGTTGGTTTACAACCGGAGTGGTGGTCCCTTCTCGCCTTATGCCGGGGTCACACTGCTTATACATCATACAAAAGACAGTCTGCGGACAGATTCGAACGCGAGTCACCGCGAGCTCCATGCTTCGAATGCCGCGTGGCAATGTGTTCAAGGAGGAAACTTGGCACGCGGCATTCGAACCACGGATATTGCGGTGACTCGTGCTTGCAAACTGTCTTTTGTATGATGTATGAGCAGTGCGACCCCGGCTTTACGGAAACAAACCAAAGGACCTTCCAAATTTTTAGCGCGTGGGAACCGAGACTTCAGGCCCGTTCACACACTTACGTTTGCTTGGGGCCGAGCTCTTGTGATCTCTTCCGACAATGGACCATACTGGCACGCTGACGCCACCTCTGAGGCCGACATGTACTGAACTCATTACATGTAATCAAATCACTTGTAATCGGCTACTTATTAGGATAATTTTGTAATAATTGGGTAAACTCCAATACTTCGTTAATTTGAAGAGTAGAAATCATTCTGCTTGTGATTTTAAAGAATGTGTACTCCTAAAAAACATCTTGTTAAGAATGGAGCTCCTTAAAGGAGCGACGCAACAATTTTTTTACTTAGCGCAAATACCGCTTAAAGCGGATCCATAACGCTAATGACCTATGAAACACGCGTTCGATCTTCACCCCACGCAATAGAAGTTCAAGAAAAAAATTAAAGAAAAACGAGCAGCGTTCACCCCCTCAACTTGCAGCCAGAACAAGCGGCCACGTGATCTGGAACCGATTATATGCCGCCAAAGTAGATCATAGCCACGCGCTGGAGTTGGCAAAGCGCAGGACACGCGCTGAGTTCCAGACATTGTTATGGCTCGGCTGTTGTCGTCGTTGCAGCGATTGGACACGGGTCACAACCCGAATGCTTCTCGAGCTAGCAATTGTCACGAGCCCAATTCGAGTGCCCGCGCAATGCTCGGGTCCAATCTATGAACCGCATTCAAATATCGTCACTTGGGTGTACTGCGATCCCCGAGTTACGTCATCAAATTTTGCAAAGGAGAGATTGAATGAAAATGATCGCTTTTGTCCTTGAAATTACACCGCAACAAAGGAGTCTCTTGGCTAATGGCGTTGCGTGTGAGTATCCTTGATTCCCAGGTGTGCCAGTAAGCTCGTGGAGAGAGAAAAACATTCCAATTGAATATCGTTGCACAGCTCCTTTAAGCACAAACCTTGAAATTTGTGCTTCAGGAGTACGCATTTTTTAAATTTTATTTTGACTTTTGTTTTTACTACAGTCGGAATATTACGAGAGATACCTGGAATTGCCTGAAACGAAACAGTTGGTTTTAGCTATGCAACTAAAAAATGCACTTACTCTGGTGGCATTTTGTTCTTTGTATTTCGAAGGGTCTTCTTCAGGGGGAACTGTAGTCCCAATCATTCTGGCACTGGGTGTCCCTGGACGAGTAGTCGTTCCTGTAGAGCCATAGGTTCCCACTCGACGTGTGGTAGTACTTGTGGAGCCACTGGTTCCCCAAAACACTCCACACACAAAAACGGCCAAGCTTAAAACAAGCTTCATATTGTGCGTTTAAAGAAGAAATGGGAATATTTTAAACCCTCGAGTATGTGAGTATTTATACCCTGTCTCTTACCAGCACTCATCTGCGTGAGCCAATCAGCAGTTCTATAAGCCCACAAAAAAAAAAAAAAACTGCGTATAATTTTTCAATTGAAGTTTCTTGTGGAGGAGTAAAGCAGGGCGTGGACAAATGGGATGCAGCAAACCAGCTGACTGTTGTTACTTAACAAAGGGCTCCATTCTGCAGAAGCGAGATATTGCGCAACAGCTGCCAGCTGCATATCGGGAGCTTTGCAGTGCAGAAGAAGAGCTTTCGACTCACGAAACAAAGCCACGCTCGGCCCAGCAAAGCTTACCGATCTGAACAATGAAGTACTTACGAGGGAACTCTTGTTGCTCTCGGGTTGGTGTTCTCCGAGGCTCATAGGGTTAAAGTCGATCTTTTACACGATCGACGTTTGTCCCGCCTAGACTAAACGCTAAATAACTACACAGTTTTTAAACCATATCAAATTACATAAAGTGCCGCCGAGAGTTGAGCTTGTATTCGTTGGTCATATTCTGGAAACAGAGCAAAAAACACAGACGAAGCAGAACAGGCAAGCAGGACCAAAGCTGTCTCGCAACTGAAGTTTTGATTAATTGAGACAGAAAGGACGAAACATATGGGAAGAAACCAACCAGACACTATCAGGTATAGATGTGTAAAACCCTTTGTTCTATCGCCCGTATAAAAATCCCCAAATTGAGGAAAGTGTCAAAGAATAAAAGAACATTCCAGTATTGGAATCAAGCCTAGAGCTCCCGCGCGACAGTCAAGCGCGGTAACCATATTCCGCCACGCACAAGCTCGCTCGGCGACGCGCGTGGCAATATCACATCCAGTGATGGGCTGTTTATCTATCTTGATAATGATGACAGGGTTTTTCATATACTAAAAATAAAACAAAATGATACCTTTTTGGAAAAGCTATTTTGGTTGAATGACGTTTTTCTGTGTATGTGATTGTGGTGTTTAACGGAGGACTACATTGCCGTAATTTGTATTAATAATACAATTAGGGTATTTTAATCCGTAGTTTTTCAAGCTCTCTTATATTTTCATTCCCAGGATCTATTTTCAAACGCGCAAACAAGTATGGCAATCAAATGTGTGCAAATTATCATTACTGGTGCCAATTGCAGCATTTTATAGCGCAGCTCCTGGGCGCCCGTTTCCTAGTTTCGCGGTGTCGCCGTCCGCTTAACCGCCCCGCTAAATTTATCGGGAAATTGAATTGGTGTTAAGGTCACGTGACGTCAATCTTCCCACTAAATCTAGCGGAAAAACTGAATTTGTTCATAAGTGACTTGACACGAAGTCATGTGACGTCATATTCCCCGCTAAATTTAGCGGGGAAACTGAATAGTTGTTGAGGTCACGTGGAATCACTTTTCCAGCTAAATTTAGCGGGAAACTATGGGAGGAGGGGAGGGTATGAAGGAGGAGGAGGATGAGAGGGTACGCAGGAGGAGGGTGCGGCTCCTGAAGAGCTGCGCTCTAATTTCGCATTACAGAGATTTACAAACGTCTTTCATTTTTTTTTTTAGTTTACAAGTTATAAAATAAAAAATAGTCTCGAATAAATGAAAACATTCTAGCTAATCTAAGAAATGCATGTAAAATTACAGAAATTGTGGGTAGAGTATATGGCGCTATCAATGTCGCGACTTCTGACAATCGGCCAAACTTCCGAAGTCGTCACCAAACCTTCAAAACCACATGCCCCCCCCCCCCCCTTTCCCCCCAAGACAAACCACACAACATTTTTTTTTTTAATTACCAATCTTTTAAGCACATTTCGGTTCTCTAATTTTTACGCGCCGTCGTTTTGCCAATCTCAGCATTTCCAGTTCGAAGGAATGGCTACCAGCTTGCACGTCAGTCCACTGCAGAACGTTTATTTGGTGTTGGAAACCATGAAGCAGTAGTAAATTTTAGTATTGCGTATACGAGCGAACTCAAGAGCTGCGCGTTTGCGTTAGTGTTGCGTGATGAACACTGCGCGCGAACGGAGCCAAAAATTGCGATCTTCGATTGGAGCATGGCAACGAGGGACACGCGCTGCGTGGGGCACGCAACTCTAAGACAGACGTACAGCTTTTGAGTTTCCTTCTAAACGCAAAACTAAAACTCTTTAAAAAGATACAATCCCATACCGACGGCAGCACTACATTGGGATAGTGCAGAGTGTTGTTTGTATTCGGAAATGGCATTTCGCGAGCTATGATCGCGAGCAGTTCCGACCTGCGCGCTGAGCAGGAAAACCGGGGGACTATGACTATAGAGCGCTTTGTGTTTCGGCCACGGGAGAGCGAGCAACGAGCTGAAGACGCGAATATCGTCGGAGACAACGTATTGGAAGTGTACTAAAGCTACCATTGTTCGAAAAGCTCTACGCCTATATCGGCAACAAGCGATTTCTCAAAAGAAACAAAAAAAAAAAAAATCTTCTGATACGTCTAGTGCTAGGTTCGCCAAAGGATAGCTTGTGCCACATTATATTGTATCTTCACGGAGCCCTTCGTTTATATTTTTGTGTTTGTGTGGTTGTTCTGTAGTGCCCGTGTTGACATTGATCTTAAATAACATCTTTCAAGTCAGCTATTTTCACCGTAGGTGCGCTGGAACACACTTCTTGGCGACAACTGACCGCTCATCTACGGGTACTGTTTTGGACTATTTCTAGAATTAGACAATGTCTAACTTATGAAAGCCGGAAGAATAATTTACCCGAAATTCTAGCGGCAGTTGCCTGCCATTAGCTGTCTGAACTCATGTGACAACTGTAGGTAGAATACCGACTTTCTTATTCTCCCGGCATTTCGTGAAAACACGTTTCATGCACACCTTTTCATGGATACACGTTCCAGAGACACACGTTTCGTCGGCACTCGTAACGCAAATTGCGTGCTGAAGGGACATTTCGTCGCGCCTGTATCTCTGAGGCGTGTGCTCACCGACTCAGCCCAACCGTTCACTCTGCTTCGTAGCAAGAGTCTGCAGCGGCTAATAACAAACATCTTAACCCACCCAGCCCACCTGTACACGCCGCTTCACGCCGATACTCTAAAACGGCTCATTAAAAAAAAGGAAAAAGAAAGAAGCTATCCTGAGTTGTTTATGAAACATCGCGTGTCGATGAAACGATCTGCCGAAATGTCGTTCGATGAACTGATTGCACCACTAATGAGTGGCGGATGCCGGTAGAATCTCGGGGAAATAATTATGCCGGCTGCCGGGAGAATAGACATTGCCCAATCATTACCCTGCGCTTCATTAAAAAAAACCTATCGTGAAATGTAATGTCAACAGCTTCATTTTCGGTCTGGCTCGCACCGAACTGTCCGCGAGGCTGTTTCCTCGCCGCTAGTTCGGTTGCGTTCGGCGGCGACACGCCATTCTTATGCTCCATTCTCAGTTACATTGCGTGTTCATTTCTTGCGATTCTTTAGACGTCTTTCTATAATTCTAAACATATACCTGTAATACAATATACCTTGTACATCTGCCCCTGTGACGAATTTTCTTGTTTTGATTTTCAGGTATGTTTTGGCCTGGACGTCACATTGAAATTTCCTGTCGGTGACTTTCTAAAGCATTACCAATCACCGCAGGAGGCCGAGGATACCAATCGCATTTACATTTACATTTACATTTATATAGTGTACTTCGTTTAACTGTAAGTCCGTCCGCAGCCGACACTAGGATGCAACGAAGCCAATCCAGCATAGACAAAAGTGCATTTTCAATACGCTCATTGTCGTTGCGGGTGTGCTATCACTGGCTAAACCAATCACGCACAGAGAAAGAGCAGCGTGGCGGTGCATTCACTCTGAGCAATTGGTCCATTCGGTAACAGAAAAAGCCCAAGGATGCTCTAGCCGAAGAAAAAAATAAGAAAACAACAAAGCAAGTGTCAAAACCACGTGATATATGATAAACACGTGCGACTTCCCGCATGCGTTTCTCGGTAAAGATTGCGGTTGTATAAGCTACCGCGACCACGGCAGCGTACGGTCTTTCATTTATATAAAAAGGTGTGGCCGCAGTGTGTTTACTTCTTCTTCGGTAATCATTTGGTATACACCTTTTTGCTGTTTACAAATATGGACTGCCTTTTGCTTCCCAAGCGACTTCCGGTCCCAAAGTCTTTGCGAGCCTGTTGAGCTTGCTTACGTCACCAGTGCTCGTAAGCATAAATGCTACCCCGACAACAAAATTGGAGATTTAACGAGGGCCTTCCGCTGTACAATATTACATCCTGGAGGAAGCAAATTGGTTTACAAGAATACTTGTAACATTTTAACAGATCTCGCGCTCCTTCGTTATTTTGGTGTTCACCTGGAGAATTGGTGGTCAAACGTTTCATCTACATTTCAAGAAGAGGTGACCTTTGTTCATTCCTTTTATAAACCGGAAGTTTTCTGGCACGTCGGAGACTGGAGCACCACCTGGTGTCGTTTGCCATAAAAAGGGTCTTTAGTGAAGTGGTCAATCGTTGCAGGTGATACCACAGCTTCGCTGTCCAACCACCTTCACAGCGTAGATTGGAGCACCAACTTTTGCAGAAAGATTAAGTGTTTTTCGGGGACAAATTTTGATCTCTGCAAGACAGTAGCATTTATCAAATCTTAAAAAAGTTGTGGTTGTTGATTTTCCTGAACTCCAGCGAACATCCACAATCCAAGTAGCGCCTACTTCTAAAGGTCACATGGCCATTCTCAACGTTTATTACACACCATGGATTAAACCAAGTGGCCGAATGTCGCATTAAAAATAAAATAAAATAAAAATTATGCGTCTGTTTGCGTTAACTCGCAGGTGGTAGGCGTAGCTAACGTTATTTTTCAATATAACGTCAGCTACGCAAAAGTAAGTGCACCACTAAGGAGGCGTTAACATGTTGGTGGGTCACTCAAAATGAAAATAAATAAGTAAATAAAATATTTCGCTTCAG